ATATATATAGTACTGAGGATTGAACCCCGGGGTGTCGCACTGAACTACATCCCTAACCCCTTTTCATTTTTAAATCTTGGGAAGGAGTCTCTTCAAATCGTTGTTACCCAGACTGGGTTCAAACTTGAGATGCTCCTGCCTCAGCCTCCCAGAATGCTGGGATTACAGATGCTGTCTTTTGTTGCCACTTTACACCATTTGCCTGGTCCCCACTTTACCCTACCTTTAGTCTTCATCCCCACTCCAACCAGTCTTTCCAGTCCTTCAGCCTCGGTCTTTGAACTTCATTGCCACAAACCTGTGCTATTGTTGCAAACTGCAATCCTGGATGGTTTTCCTTTTCATATGCCACTTCAGTACAGGAGCAGCAACCAAGCCCTTGCATCAACACTCCTGTGGTCAAAAAAAGAAAACAATTTATTTATTCATTGACTCATTGAACCACACTCCCTAGACTGTAGTTCAGCCTGGCCTTGAATCACTGTAGCACAGGCTGATCTTGAACTCACAGCTCTTTCTGCCTCAGTTTCCTGAGTGCTGGAATGACAGGTGTGCACCACCTTGCCCAGCAAAAAAACAAAAACTAAAACCTAAATTCCAATCAAAACTCAGTTTGGAATCTGACTCCAGGCCACCTTTCTAAACTGATCTCTCTTAGCAGATGCAATTGGAAAGTGGTCTTTGGGGGAGGTGCTGGAAATTAAACTGAGGGGCCTTTGCACCAAGCTACATGCCCAGCCCTTTTTATTTATTCATTTTTAAAATTTTGGGACAGTTCTCACTAAGTTGCCCAGGCTGGGCTAGAACTTGGCAATCCTCCTGCCTCAGCCTCCTAGAGTCCTGGATTACAGAGGTGGGCCACCATGTCTGGTGGAAAATGGGTTTAAACTGGCCAGCAGAATTTCGTTTTTTAGATTTGGGTTTACATTGATTTTTAAGTCAGGAGATTTTATGACAAACCCCCAGCTTCTTTTGAAACATCAGTTAGAGCTGGAAACACTTTGGCAACTGGCTTAGACCAAGGACAGGGAGGAGTCCCCCAACTTGCCAGGTCACACCCTGTGCAGCACCTGCTGGTGTCTGTGCCACTGGGTCACATTCTTCTGTTCACACTGATGTTCTTGTGTAACACGCAGCCTCTTGGAGCCAGTGTCTGGTGTGGAAGGCGAGCCAGGAGGGTGTACACGGAAAAGACAAGTGGGTGGAGACTGTGCACCCTGTCTCTTTGGGGCCTTTCCTCTCCTCCCCCGGACCCCACAGCCAGTTGTGTCTGTCATTCAGCCCCAGCAGGAACCTCCCTGACCGCTGGAGCAAAGGCCTGAGAAGATGTCTTTCCACCTCTTCAGGGCATGAATTCCACCCCCCCACCCCCGTAGCAGCCGGCAGCCTTGGTAAGACGCAGGCTTTGTTTGCAGTTAAATGCCATGTAGCACAATAAGTGTAAATTGGGCTGGGATGGAGCCTTGAGGCCCTGGTTTGGGTCTGCAGCAGCAAAACATAAAAAAGAGGCTTAAAGAGCAAATGGCATGTCCTATGGGCAAAGCCGCGGTCACCACACGTGGGCACCAGGGGACAGCTGCCCCTGCAGGAAGCAGCCTCCTACCCCCCCAGGCTTTCTGCAGAGGGTTGGAGAGGCCCCGCCCCTGGGCTCTGCTCCCGAGTGGCAGAAGCTGCTTGTTAGGCCCCAGCTGTATCCATGTGAGCAAACCTCCAGCCTGGTCTGACTCACAACTCTAGTCAGAACGGCTCATGATACTGCGCTGTCTGAACAAGCTCATGGCCAGCACGTCGTAGCTTGGCCTCCTGGCCTCCCCACCTGTCCGCTCCAGGGCTCCCACACAGGATTTGAACTGTGCTCCTTTAAAACATCGGGCCGGACAGTCTGTAATAGCTAGATCTTGGACACAGCCCAAATGCTATCAGTCGATGAACGGATAAAGATGTGGTTTTTTATACAATGGAGCACTACTCTGCCATACAGAAGGATGAGCTCGAGACACTTCTGGCTAAATGGATGGGCCCTGAGACCATACTCTTAAATGAGATACATCAGACACACGTTTAAATACCGCATCGTTTCTCTGGTGTGAGAAACCAAAAGTGGAAATAAGGACTGAAATGTGCAACAGATACTGGGAAATGGGAAGGAAATGTTCAAATGTGAAGGGGAACAAATGAAGGGGAGGGAGAAAGGGAAAAGGGACGAGAAAAAAAGAAACTAGAAAGAAAAATAGAAACAAGGCTTTTGTAAATAAGGAGGGAAAGGGGGTTGAAGGGAGCGGAGGGGAATGGGAAAAAAGAAGAAAGATGTGTCATGTACAGGTATAAATTCCCAATGATGAGCGTTATCAATATGCCTATCTAAAATGTACCAACAATAAAAGATAAAAAGTCAAACATTGGGTCTTAAATGTTTTGCTTAAAATTTTTTTTTCTTGGTTCTAATCTTACATCTTATTTATCTATATATCTATATAATCAGCACCGGGGAGGGACCCAGAACCTTGCAGTGGGTTACATGCCCAACACTTTTTAAATGTCTTGAGACAGGGTCTCAATAAATCCCAAAGTTGCCTTGGCTAGGCTTGAATTTGTGATCCTCCTGACTCGGCTTCCTCGAAAAATGGGATTCCAGGCACGTGCCACAACGCCCAGCTGATGATACATGTTTGCAACCCATCAGGTAGTGAATTAAAAGATGCTAGCAAAGAACCGGTGAAAAGGAGTTGAAGTTGGGTTTAAGTTTACCATTTGGCAATAATCCAGGACGCAATCGGCTGACTCCTCTCTGGGTCCTGGCCAATGTTCCTTGTCAGTCCCCCAGTGTTTTTCTTCCACGTGTTTATTTTAACAAGGAGGTAGGACCCAGGACCTTGTGTATACTAGGCAAGCTTTCAACCACTGAGCTACACCCCTGGCCCTAATTGTTTTATTTATTTTTTTAATCTTTTTATTGGTGCATTTTAGACATAAGAATTGCTAACACTCATCGTAGGGAATTTGCACTGTACATGATACATCTTGGTTCTTCTTTTTTCCCCCATTCCCCTCCTCTCCCTGCAATCCTCCTCCCCTCCCTATAGGCAAAAGCTTCCATTTTTTCCTTCTATGTTTTTCTTTTTTTCTTTTCATCCCTTCCTTTAGAACCAAGGAAATCTTAAAAAGCCCATAGCTCAGTGTGATAGGAGGCTTTTTTTTTAAAAGATGCTTTTCTAACATAAGTTTAATCCCCAAGTATGAGAAACAAAACCACAAAATATTCAGGACTGTGTGGCCCAGTGGTAGAGTGCATGTCTAGCTTATTAAAGGACCCGAGTTCAATTCTCACCACACATGTGCACAACACGCACACTCATCAAACTGGAAGACACATGCAGTACTTTCTAAGTCTTGAGCAAGAAGCTTGTGTTCACAGAGGAAATTCCACATGGGAGAAGGAGCTCTGCACTGAAAGGACAGGGAGGGAAGTGACGTGTTAACTAAACACCTACTGTGCACTGGGGCTGACAGAAGTGTTCCCGCTTCACCTCACAGACACCTTGTAAACAGGAAGGTGTGTCCCAACTCACAGAGGAGGGTGTAGAACCTTGGAGTGTGGTGTCATTTTGCAAACATTCAGCCATCTCTGGGGACTGGAGTGTGGGCCAGCAGGCATCCAGCTCTTGCCTTTTCTTTTTGCGGTAATGGGGATTGAACTTGGGACTTTGCACTTGCAGGGCAGGTGGCAGAACCACTGAGCTACATCCCTGACCCAGCAGCTCTTGCCTTTTTCCTGTGTCAGAGGACATGGTTCAGTCAAAGAAATGTCAGTGTAGCCCACACCTAGTGTGCACTCTCCAGGTGTCACTCTGGGTGCCAGGGTTCTTCTGGGGGGTGCTGCAGGAGGCCTGGAACAGTGGGAGGCATACCCAAGACTTCGCAGGACTTGCCGCTACCTCCCCTGCCTTTTCCTCCTTCTCCCTCTTCTTCTCCTCTTCCATCTTGTTTTTTGAGACAAGGTCTTGCTGTGTCATCCAGGCTGGTTTTGAACTCTCCATCCTCAGGCTCGGCCTCCCAAGTACTGGGCTAACAGGTGTGCACGCCCAACACGCAAGACTCTCCTTTTCACAAAATTGCCCAGCACATAGTAGGCACATGTATTCATTCACTCAGTTCTCCTGGGCAACTGTAGATATGGTTG